TCCTTCCTTCCTTCCTTCCTTCCTTCCTTCCTTCCTTCCTTCCTTCCTTCCTAACCGGTTTTCAAAAATAGCAGCTCATGTCTCGGACTTTCTGTTTTATCCTCCTACAGACAAAGGATTCAGACAAGCCGTCCAAGCAGAAGGATGTGATTGTGGAGTTCTTCACCACGTCCAATGGAAACACGTACCAAGTGGTGGAGTACTTAAAGAAATCTAGGGCCAGGAAACCAGAGAAATATTACCCTGGAAAACTGAAAAGCAGTTCTCTACCTTCCTACCTGGAGCAGGTGTATCTGTCAGAGGGTTTCTTTAGAGATGTGAGAAAACAGTGAGTACTAACCTCTCTCTCTCTCTCTCTCAGCTGGCTGGGTGACTTTGAGCCGGTCGCTCTTTCTCAGCCCAGCCCACCTCACAGTGTTGTTGTTGTGGGGAAAATAGGAGGAGGAAGGAGTATTAGGTATGTTCGCCACCTTGGATTATTTATAAAAATAATAAAGGTGGGATAAAAAATCTAAAAAAAAAAACATAGGAAAATGTTCTCCAGTGAAAGAGAAGGATTTTAGGAGAGCTCCAAACCACAGGCTGAGATGTGGTGAACCCATGAAAATCCACATTTTAACAGCTCTGATGAATCCCTTTGGGAATTTATTTTTCTGCTGTCTTTCGGGCCTCCTCTGATAAGGGAGAGCAGTTTTGCCTTGTCTTTTTGCATTTACTCTAGTTGGATCCCCCAGATCCTTTAGGAGAGATGAAGCAGAGTTGCCCATCCATGGGCAGGGGAAGGGAGGGGAGGCTGCCCACTGCAACTCTGCTTGAGTCACCTCTTTTCCAAATAAGAGAAGTAGTGTGCACAGCAACCTAGAGAGAGAGAGAGGAGGTTAAATAGGTCATTTCCTCTCGAGTTCCACAGGTTATTTATTTATTGGACCTGCATATCGTAACAAAAGCATCTATGACGCAACTTAAAATCGAAACACTAAATAGCCATGGGAAATAGCACACATTAAAGGCAAACCGTTCTAAAATCCACTGTTGCAAACATTACCTAACAATGTTAGCATTCTGTAGAGTCCATTGCCTATAGCCACAGCGGTCCTTCAGCCCCCAGGATGACATTCTGCTCTTCTGGCACGGCTTGGTCTTTCCCCCTTTGCACGGTCTTCGACACGGGACCAGCCTCAAGCCATCTCCCCCTTTCCCTCCTCCCCCGGCAGGATCCGCCTGCAGTTCTTTGAGCATTTGGAGAAGTGGTTTGATGAGACCATGTCCAGCGCCTGGGTCGTTGTGGGGGCCAAGAAGGAAGAGCTCCATTCAGAGCTGCACCTGCGCCTCCACCTTCACGAGCCCAGGAGGGAGCGCATCGAGAAAGACGTTTACCACGTCAGGATGGGTATCTCTTTTTATCCAATAGCCACGTCCCCTCTCAGTCCTGCAGGGAAAGGGTTCTTTGTCGGCCATAAAAATCCAAAAAGAGATGGGTACGAAGGTGTCCCTCGCTAAAGAGAGATGGGCAGGAGAGCAAGATGGCTCAAAAGAAAAAAAAAAAAAAAACAGAAAAGAGAAACAAATGGAGATTTGATCCATCCATGGCTGTCAGCTAAATGGGAGAAAACTTGAGGAAGGCCCTCTCCTTCCCCAAACATCCATTAGCCTGTTTTGGGAGCAGAATGTTATCAAGATTCAGACCTTAGTTGATCCAGTTTGGGTTTCCTCACCATCTTCTGTGTGAATGTGGGACTTCTCAGTCACCCCATTCTGCCCTTCCCTCGCTTTCACCTCAGGAATTTCTCCCCTTTTCTCTCAGCGGAGTTGAAGCTTCACAACGAACGCCTGATGCGTCACTGCAACGGCTTGCTCGAGGTGCTGAATAAGGAGAGAGGTGCCTTCATCAAGATTCGAGAGGACCACAATGCTGTCAGCAAATCCTTCCGAATCCGAATCCAAGAGATGGAGAAACTCTTCCAGGCGGAGAGTAGAGCCGAAAAGTCAGTTTGGCGCTGGAAAGAAGGGGACACGACCCACATTCTCACAGTTGCATAGAGCCTTCCAAGGCTTTGGATGTGGCCCTCCAGAAGTTTCCCTCCAAATGTAAAGGGGAACTTGATTTGAGCACAGGGAATAATCATGTTAACTGTTTCTTATTAATCCAGCTGAAATGAAATGAAGTAAGATTTGGGGGACTGGCCTCCACCTGCTTTTGGGCAGGTGGCCTTGGCATATCCCTTGTAGGCCTTGTCTTGCCAAAGGCTGGGTATCCTTGCCATAGAACTTCCAATCCCTCTTCTGTGCCTACTCATCACCGCACTGGGTTGCCGTGGCTTTGAGCCCCAGTTCTGAAGGCCTCCAAAAGAACTGAAAACTGAAAGAGGCTTTGCTTTTCGTGCTACCTTCTGTTCAGATCCTTGGAGACTCCTAGCCAACTTGTGGAATTTCGCAGGATCCCAGTTTTTATACGTAGAGAAAGAAAGAAAGAGCAAGGTCGCAGCCCAGTGTTTCACAACCTTGGCAACTTTAAGATGGGTGGACTTCAACTCCCAGAATTCCCCAGCCAGCATTCTGGGAGTTGAAGTCCACTCATCTTTAAGTAGCCAATGTTGAGAAACACTGTCCTAGCCCTTAAGGCTGCAGTGATAAATTTGAAAGGAGATAGGCTTGCTAAGATCTCCAGGGAGGCATCTGGAAAAGATGGCCACATTGGAGGAATAGCTATTATTACAGAACAAATCATGCCAAATAAAGGTAATTCTAGACATTTGATTCATTGGTGCATTATAGAATTTGAATTGCCTGGTAGCAGGATTTTAATTTTTCTAGGGTGGGGTATACCCAGCAATGACTCAGTTTCCACTGAGTCTGGAGGGGAATATCTCTAAATAAAAAAAAAAAAAGGGTTGTGAATTTAGTCAGAGGGTGCCTGGTTAAAAAGGAGGGGCAGTTGGGTCATGGCCATTGTTCACAGTCTCATGTGGGCACAATTAGTTCATTGAGAGCATTAAACAGAGTAAACTCGCCTTCAAAGGATATTTCGGAGTCACAGCGGTTCCCTTCACCCACTTCTTGACAGGGTGATGGCTCTGACCCACAACCTACATACCGAGTTGCTTAATCACGTGGAAGTGCTCCAGGTCTCTATGCGGAGTTACAGGCAGTATCTGGAAGAAGCTTTGGGGAAACTACGAGATTCTAACACGGACTTCCTAAAAGCCTGCAGGTACATCTGACAATTTAATACTGTTCTGCTCACCTACCGGGGTTTTTCCCCCATTTTTCTTGAGTAACTGCTGCCTCTGTTTAATTTTGCATTGGCAGCCAGAAATAGTTTGGCTTATAATAACTCTGTGGTTACCTGCAGCCACAAAAGCTTTTCTTTAGCCCACCTCCACCCTCTAAACCAAGCTGCTGAAATTTAAAAAAAAAAAAAAATGAAGAGAAAGGCAGTGTGGATCTTTGCAGGAAAGAACTAGGAGCATAATTTTGCCCTTTTAAAACTCACTTTCCATTCTGTCTTCAGTCACCAACAGAGCTTCCAGTCCATGAATCTTCTGTCTGACAACTAGCTATAACTGTATGAATGTATTGGAATCAGCCACCCGGCGTGGCTTCTTTGCTTGCAAACCTAAAAATGAACTACTCCTGAATGGGGTGGGAGAAAAAGACAGGCTGCAAAGATGGAAAACCAAGAACTAATATGTAACCTTTTTTAGGGGTGTGTGTCTATCAATTCACTATTTCCAGTGGGTTATCTGGTTCTTCCATCTATGGTGAAATTATGCATAACTTTGGGTCCCACATTGCCAGCCTGTAGGTACTGAGTTAAATGCACTTGTCTATCTTCTCAGATTTTAGGGAGGGAGAGAGGAAGAATGTAGCCATTTCATCAGTCCATAGCCTGCATTTTCATTCTGGCACTTTCTTTCAGCTGTCCTATAGTGATGCTGTATTTTGATTGCATCCTGGCCTCCTGGCTTGAAGAAGGCCAGCGTGTAACATTTTCCAAAAGTACAAATCCAACCTCTGACCCATCACTGTTGTTTTCAGACTCTTTGCAGATGGTGGAAACTTTTCCCCTGAGGAGCTAGAAGTCTTCATGAAACAGTTGCAGAAAGAGCACGGGCGCATAGACTTTGTCGAAGGCTTGATCATGATTGACATGGAAAAAACGGAGACCAGTTACTTGGAGGAGGTCAGCTATCAATTGACTATTCAGAACAATCATGAGGCTTTCCTTAAAGTTCGGTGTGCTCTAAGTTGGGTTAAGAGAAAGGAAGAGTGTGGGAAAAGAGTTAAAGTTGTATGTAATTGTAAATAACCAGCTTCAGGGATGAAGAAAAAATCCTTCTTGATGATGTGGTCCCATTCTTCCCACTCCTCCCACTACCCCCCTCCCCCTCTCCAGGCTACAGAAATTATCAACAAGTTCGAAAGTAAGTTTCGTTATCTGGCCATGGATCGAGTCTTTTTGGAGAAAATCCAACGGTTTCTGACCAATATTCAAGTGAAAATCAAGACGGAGGTACCAACAGAAAAAGAGGAGTGGGGTGGAGTTGGGGAAAGAACAGGATTGATTTGTTCAGTTATTCCGGATTGAGAGGCTTTCCTTAAAGTTCGGTGTGCTCTAAGTGTCTTGGATTACTGCTTTATTTAGAAACGTGGGATATGATGTGGAAATAATACATACATGACTACTCTGCGTCATGGTGCAAACGCAGGATTTATCCCTTTGTCTTTGAGTGTAGTTTTGCAGGCACTACTGGTAGAATTCTCCTCCAAAGGAGAGGTTCCCAATCTTTTGGATTGGTGGGCATATTTGAAATTTGGAAGAAATGCTGCAGGTTGTCTTGCAAAACCTGTTATCAAGCATCAGAATACTTCCTGTCATGACTCTAGTCCTCACCCCATGGGAAACTCTTACCACCCCAGCTTAACTTTGCTTTTTTTTTTCTGGCCAAGTCAGTGTCCTTTCAAACTAACTGACCTAAGTTGCAACACACATGGTTGTGATGGTTTAAAACAATGCTGCACAAAGTGTCTCCTTTTTCTTGCATCCAGATGAGTGTGGTCAGAAATGTCCCCTTTTTAGGAGTGTCCTGCGCTGTCCTCATGAAGGCCAGCTAGAGAATACCTTTGTGTTCTTCTGTGAGGCTCATCTAACGGTGGATTCTGGGGCGACTCTTCACTTTCCAGGTGGCCAAATCTAACTGGCAGACCCAAACGTTGAATTCCTACTTGGAGAAGCTCATCAAAAGGATAGATGCCTGTGCCCACCCTAATGTGGATAAGGAAGTAGGTTCCGAGGCCATTTAACCGAAAGACTAGCCCTTGTGTTGGGAAAGATCAAACCAAATGAATTTCCAACTCTCTTGTTTATCAGAGATTCCTCAGTGGAGACTTTTCTCAGGACAGCTTGCTCATTGTCATGGCTTTTCCCTTGTTGTGTACAGCTAGACCTATACAGGGCAGGACTTTCAGGGAGACCCCACCAAGACCCGACCAGATTGTTGTCAAAACACACTACTGATGGCCTCAACCCCCAGTGTCAAGGAATGGGTGGCAAAAAGTTCATTGCTGTGATGGAATGTAAAACTGGCCCTGGGAACAGAGGAGGGATGAAGGAAATGTTAAAAGAGGAGGAGGTTCAGGAAAAATGACTCAGCCCCAGGAAAGGAGAAAGCGTGAGAAAGAAACTCAAAATAACCCCACTTTGATTTTGTTTGGTATAAGATGGAGTAGAGGGAAGCTCTGGCAGGCTTTCAAGATTCTGTTGTTATACCCAACAACAATAAAGGGCGTTCCTGAAACTCCTGTTGCTCCTGTTCCCTGAACCTGCCTGCCTCAAAAAGCTGACAATTATCATATAAGGGCAGGAGAAAGACATGCAGGATTTAAACCTCAGTGCTGACATATAAACATGGCTGGACTCTTAGATCCTTCCATAGCTGGTCCTCGGCTTCATAAGCAACAACAGTAGGACAGCCAGCTTCTTGCTGGGTTTATACCAATGCACCAGAATGGTCTGTGGGTTGGGGAGACCCACTGCTGAGTGGCAAGCCTTAATCCAGATCCACCAGGGAACAGCTCACTTTGTTTTAAATCTCCTATCTTGTGTTCGTTTGTTTTGACGGCGCTTTATTTTTTTAAATTTCTTTATTCAGTCCATCACGCCAGAAAGACTTTACAAGTTTGCCAAATTTGTCATGGAAGAATTGAAGAAGAGAAGTAAATATCTCAACTGTCAACTCAGGGTGCCGGTAATTGATTTTCTGCTAGAATGGTTCATCTGCTAACTGTCTGTACAAACAAGCCCTGGCTTGTGAGCCCTAAGGTGTCAGCTGTGCATCACGTCCATTGCCACCATTCTCCTGAATTCCTCTCAAGGCGGGCAGGGAGGGGTTACCAGGATCTCAGGAGTGCATTCGAAATGGTAACGTGGTCAGAAGTACCTGCTCCATTGAAAAAAAAAAAACTGACTGAGAATAAAGGTTCTATGGCAGCTGCCTCAAACGGAAAGCAATCTTTTGGAAGCCCAATTCTTACAGAGTCGTCTTCAACAAGATTTGTTGAGAGGAAAGGGACAAAGTTGCAAGAATTCCCGCTACTGAACCGCTTCCTATTTTAGCACCAGTATATCCCCCTGTAGAGTGTTAGAAGTTTCTTTCTTGCTTTGATTTCTTTCTTTCATTAAAGTATTAGAAGTTTCTCCCCAACAGCCTTCCTGTGATCCTGTGGGAGATGATAATGGAGAAGCTCACAGCTGGCTGTTTACATAACAGCTTCTTCAGTTTTTATCAATCTGGGAAGCAACCATTCCAGAGAAGGAGAGGCTGAGCTTGCTGTCTGCACTCTGGGGGAAACACACCAGCACGTGCACGCGAGTGTTAACACCATGCTGCAAAAGAGCCACCTTTAGTCTTCCAAAGCTTGCCTACCCTGGGTCTGAAGGTCATTTGTCTGTTGCCCTTGGAGTGCCAGGGCTGACTTTGGGGGAGTATCTTGGGGTGACCGCACTCCAAAGTATAGGTGTGATCCAAACAGACCAGCCTGTGGGCTGAGAAGAGAATGAAAAGTCATATGTTTGCTCCCTGTTTATTTAAAATGTTCTCCCTGTGAGTCTCAGCACTCATCCAATCTCAGAGCCCATCTTTGACCTCTCAGTGACATCCCGCTGGCCACCATTTTGATGTAGAACATCCTGCCGTGCTCTTTCTACATTCTCATCTTTTTGCCTCCACATAGGAGCCAGAGACTTCTTCTGGGCCTCTGGCCACCGCTCAGGACTCCGTAACAAGCACTGCCCCATCGGATATTTCACTCCCGGAGAGCAAGGTTACTGTGATGGGTATGGAATACACACCTCTCCTGAATCCAAGCAGAATGGGGAAGCCGGCCTTTGATGATGCGTCCTTCTACTTGATCAGAAATCTCACAGGGTAAGCACCCAAGGAAGACCTGTACAAGCCTCATTTTGAAAACCGCAGGGACTAGGCATGCACAACATCTCCCCTCACCCACAGTTGATTAGGCTGATCAGCTGACAGGTGGAGTTTCTGGATGGCTTCTCCTGACCTCCATCCCTCCATTATGTCCATGTCAGGACCACGGACAGCTCAACAATTGAGCAGGAAGAAATCATGAGTGGGTTTGCACATCCTGCCATGGCTTTGATGGTTTCATTTGGCTGGATTTGCACCTCCTTCGCGTTGAGTTCAACTCTGGGTGCCTCCATGGACATACCCCCATGGGAGCAAGCCATCTGTATTACATAGGCAGATGCCTATTACAGTTGGTCCCCCTGGCTTAGAGGTTAACGAGTATTTAAAAAAAAAACAGAGTCTGCTTCCACAGCCTCTGGCTTCTAAAAGGTTATGGAGTTAGTGGCATCTGATCTGATTCTAGAGAAGGCCCAAAGCCTTCAGGCTGAGAATTGGTAAGATAGAATGTCACCCCAGCCTGAGTGGGACAGTCTGCCTCTCTGCCTCCTTCCGGTCTTCCTCAGAGCAGATCAGGGGTGCGGCATTGGGAACGATCACATTTTCATGTGTTGAATTCGTTCCAGATATGTGCGTGGCAGAAAGATGACAGAAGTTCAGCATGAAAAGGACACTGTAGGATCACCTGGAGGAGACCGAGGAGGTGGGGAACAGAACTTTCGTGGCGGCTAAGAGCGGGGAACCTCTGACTTGGCAGAAGTTGCGAAACTGCCGTTTCCAGCAGCCATGCCAGCATGGCCATCAAGAGGAAACTGTATTTTAAATGGAGGATTCCAATAAGTCATCGTGGCACAAAGATTTGGGGGCTGGCCTCAAGGGGAAGATGCCTTCCATGGGTTCCTCAGATTGGAAGGGATGGGGCAAGGCAAATGTTGCCTTAGATCCCCCACACAATGTGAACAGAATGGTGGTTGGGGAAAAGCAATCCCTCCATTTGGTCATCTTGGAATCCTCAGCAGCCACTTCTTGGATCCATCCTCTCTTTCCCAATCCATTCCACCTGGCTTGTTTCCTATATATTATTTCAGAATTGTCCAATCAAGCTTCCCCACCCTTAGCTGGGGGCGTTCGTCGTGAAAGCCTTCCGGGGGGACAAAGCAATGTACCCATAAAGAAATCGAGTTCCATTACCAAAGTCTCAGGAAGGTAAGGGGAAAAAAACTATGCTTTCTCCCCATCCTTCCCGTAGGATTTGAAACACATCTCCCTTTCCCACCTGCCCCCCCAACCTTATTTTCACACTGAAATAACATTTTTTCCCCATGAAAATTTGAGCAGGCTTCTAATATCAATTTTTATTTAAATTTGTCATTTAAAAAAAGTATGATTCCCTTTGGGGAGATTCAGTGGACTTGTTATATGCTATTGGTCTTCTGGAAGCTTGCCAATGTCTTATTTTATTTTCCAAAGTTTATCTGACTGTGGCGTTGATAAAATTAATCCACCCCTGGGTTAAATTATTGCTGTGCTGACAGTTAGCAGAGCAGTCGTTAAGTTGTCTTGTTTGCAATGCAGCGGGACCTCCATCCAAAAATACACCAGACTTACTAAAGCGGACAGGAAGTTGCAGATTTTTGGAGACAAACCGAAAGAGACAGAGTGAGTCCACTACTACCTTTGAGACTCCCCTGATTTGGAGTTGATCTGCAGTTAATTTACTTTTTAAATGCTCCAAATTATTGGCTGGGTTTGCACATGCGAAGTTGTAATGCAGTTTGTATAGCTTTAATTAGGATATGTGTTAGGCAATACTCTACAAGAGTGTGATACTGCATCTTACAAGCTCAACAGATAGCAAGTGGCATGAGAAATCAGAGCATTCCACCTAATCTTATCAAGCTGCTTAGCCATGGAATATTTTTTAAGACGAGCAAATTGCTTTGTATTTTATCAGCCTGTCGTTTTTTTAAAAAACATCTACAGTATATTATCTAAAGGTTTCTTTTGGCACTTTTTTTTTAATGCGATAATTAGATAATTAAGTAATGCCTCCTTTTAAATTGGTTGTCTAGTTCTGACCACTTTAACGGAATCGTCTTCAATATCCTGTGGGACAATTTTGATTGTATCATGAACGTTGCTGAGGTAGGAGATTTTTTTTTTTCTTTCATTACTACTATTTTTTTTTTAATAAGACCAGCAGTGTGATTTCAGGACAGCGCTACCCATCTGGAGAGTCTTCCCTCTCCTTTCTCTGAGCAATATGGGGAAACGTGCTTGGTACCTACACCTGATCAACTCCAGAAAAGTGGGCGCTCCAGGGATTCATGATTGCAAAGCAATTTAGGGCACTAACTTGATTTTCTGGCCCTGATGACGCTCCCTGAGCTACTTGCCAATTACCATCAGTTCTTGGAATTTATTTATTATTTCCTTAAGATTACTTTTACATTGTATTTTTAATTAATGTTATCTTCTCTGTAAACTGCCCAGTCACTTTTTAATAAGGTGGGCAGCAACAAATTTGATAGATAGATAGATAGATAGATAGATAGATAGATAGATAGATAGATAGATAGATGATGGATGGATGGATGGATGGATGGATGGATGGACGGACGGACCAACAAATTAGATATGTATGTATGTATGTATGTCCTGGAGTTTTCAGACGTTCTAGAAGGATGGGAGATGGCTACCCCATGGTAACTTCCTGCAAATGTTTTGGGGGGGAATAATCTCTTCTTATTCTCCCCACAGTGCCCCACTACTACTACTATTATTAATATATTTTGTTGTGTCTTCGAGTCAGTGTTGACTCCTGGCAACTGGACTAGTCCCTGCAGTTTTCTTGGCAAGATTTCAGAAGTGGTTTGCCATTGCCTCCTTCCTAGGGCTGAGAGGCAGTGACTGGCCCAAGGCCACCCAGCTGGCTTCATGCCTCAAGCGGGACTAGAATTCCCAGTCTCTCGGTTTCTAGCCTGGTACTTTAACCACTACCCCAACCTGGCTTACTATTATTGCTACATTTGTTATTATTATAATCCCCCACTAATGGAAGTTCAAGAAGAGACCCATAAGACAATAGATTACATGAATACACAGCCCAGGAAAGCTAAAAATCCCATTTTCCAATGCAGACAATATGCAGAATTGTAAAAATACTTAGGAAACACAAGGGGTTGTGCACTGTGATGCTTCAGAAAGCCAGTGTGGCCTCAGCTAAGCCATAATGTGATTTTCTTTTATAGGTCAGTCTTCCTGAGCAACTGTACAGCAGTCTTCCCTAACTGGATGGCGTCCCTCACTCTCCCATTTTTTTCTCATCCCCGCTTTCCATCTGTTCTTTTTCTACAGGAATTCTACAAAAAGGACAAGCACCAAATTACTAAACCAGAATGTCTGCAAGAAACCTACGACCAGTGCATCGATGCCCTGGGCCAGAAGATGCTGCTGTATCTTTTCCAATCAGATGAGTACCACATTGCCTGCATCTCTGGTAAGACCGCACCGATAAACGGGAATTCTGTCTGTTCCAGCAGTCTTTCTGGACAGGCATATTTTCCTTTAAGCAGATTTATCGCTGTCATTTTCCCTGTGTCATAAACCTCTCTGGATTAAAGCTATCTTACGGGCATTGTTGTTTTTAACATAAAATTTCTGAATTGTCATTGATTCCATTACCTGGCTGAGAACTATGCAATGTGCATAACTTTGCATAGATTTGCATAATGGACACTGTTTCTCCTAGGCACAGTGACTGCCCCAATATTTCCCACATGCCAATATCCCCCACCATAAGGGCTGGTCAGGGGCCTTTTGTTTCTTAAGACGAAAATCTAAGTTTCTCAGACTACCAAACCCTGTACTCCGTGGAATAATGTGACCTGACCTCCAGTTCCATGAAATCTGTCAGAGTTCCGGGTTCAGCTGAAGAAATTTGAGGAAGAACTTCCTCACGTCGTCCGTCTGGTCATTGGCAAACTTCTAAAAGATCACGAACAGCTCCTTGCAGAATCCACAGAACAAATCCGGGGTCATCTCCAGGACCAGCTGCAGAATTGGACTGCTATAAAAGTAAGTTGTTTTAAACATCCTGAAATATTTTAATCTGGTTCTCTCCTCCTGAGTTAAAAAAACGTCCTTTGGCAACCCTCTTTCACACTACTAGCCACAAGGAGCCAAGCCCCTGAAATGGGTTTTCGAATGCCTTAAGAGCCAGAGTTGTGCGCACACTGGTAGAAAACAAAACTCTGTGCCAAGGTTTTCCAAAAAGTGCCATAAGAAAAGCACAGTACAAAAATGTAAGCACAAAAAGTATAAATTTAAGCACAGAGTTGTATGTTTTCTTGTATGGCCTCTTCTGAGTCTTCTTCTAATTATGAAGAAGGTAAGAAGATATATAAAGCTGCACCGGGGATAATGTGACATGTAGTGGGTCCACTTCAAAGATTGGCTTGTTTTAGGGGTGCCGCGAGCATCTGCAGTCCTTCCCCCCCAAATGCAAAAAGGAGGCCAAACGTGTGAAGTAGAAAATTGCCTGAATGAAAGAGATGAAAGCTGATTTCTGCATGGTTGTGAGGATCAACGCAGCTTGTTTTCTTGCTCGGTTGTGACTTGACCTTGCAGACACCCAGTGCCACTGGCCTCATCTTGATCACAGAACTCTGGTCCGAGGAGGGAAGCTTCTTGGATGTGGGGTGGGGCAGGAGTTCGAGGTTGCACCCCAGGCCCTGCTACGAGGCACAGTGCAGCACTTTGGAAGAAGTATCACTGGCCCGTCTGTGATGGCCATCAAAGCGAGCTTTGCCTTTTCCATCCAAGGACCAAAACATGGCTAAATTGCATACCAGTTTGGGGCACCCTGACAATAAGCCTGTGCTGGGAGCCTTGTGCCAAGAGGAAGAGAAGAGGCAAGAAGAGCAAATTGAGGGCATCCTTATCTGTACCAACAGCCTGGAGGTATCTTTGAGTCTCTTTTTTCAGAGCCCCACCATTATCAAGGGTGTGTAGAAAGAAAGGGATCTTTCCAGAAAAGGCTCAACCCATTCAAATATGAATGAACTGACATTCTCCCCACAACTCCTTGCATTCAGTTATTGCCCCATGAGTGAGAAGGGATTCTAATCTGGGATAGAGCATTTCCTTGAGTCCCCACAGAACGTGGGCCATGTAGACGTGGAGGTCAAGAGCTCTCCTTAGAAACTGTTCCCTTCACCTGCAGCTCCTTCACTGTCTTGATGGTGATCTTCACAGGTCTGCGTCACAGAGTGTGCCCAAAAGTTCGTCTCCACGCTGGCCGCTTGCACTGAAAACATCTTTATGGAGCTGGACAACAGCCTCACTATTGATGATGTCCAAATAGGAAGTAAGTGATGAGAATGTTGGCAGCCTTAATTTCCAATTGAAGCCCAGTTTTGCTTGGGGAAACAAAACAGATCTCACCCACCCCTTGCTGCTTTAGCACAATTATTCCTAGGGGTTAGCATGTTTTTACTTGCTGGCTGCCAGAGAAATGGAACATGGAATCATGTTTTTTTGTGATTGTGTGAAAGTTGCTGTTCAGTTGTTCGGAAGGTTACAAGGAGGATTTTCAGGCCCGGCATTTATTCCAAGGCCACAATAAAACTCTGTGTTGTAGTTTTCCCCAAGTAATAACAAATATTTAGGTAGAATTGAGGGGCACTCCTTATCTCCTGATAGCAAAAGATCCTGGCTTGGCTATGACAGCTTTCTCCTGAGTCGACACGAATGCATCCACATTGCAAGTTTATTGACATCTTGGCAGAGGTCAGGAGCAGCAAAAGATTGTTGATGGCAAAAGGAAAAAAAAAGATTGTTTATAGTAAAAATAATCCCGGGGATTCCTCTGCAACCGAACAAGCTTTGTGAATGGATTACAACAATGGGATCATCAAACTGCCTCCTTCTCACCCCTGTTCCACCTGATCTTTACTCTGTCCCAGAAACTGAGAAAGTCCGGGAAAAAACCATCACCCTGATCCGCCGTAAGAAAGCTGGCCTTTCGTTAGAAGTGGAAGAACATAAGCTGGTGGCCGAACGGGGCAGCAGGTAACGTTTCTCTGCCATCTTCAGGGGGCGTGGATTGCACTTCATCGGCACTGGCTGCGTCAGCTTGGAAGGGGCCAGGCTGAGACTGAGATCTTGACTGGCAAAGTGATAACTCAGCCGGGCATCTGTTGCCTCTGAAATGCTGCCTGGCTTTAAATATGTGGGTTTGAGAAACCATACCTGTGTGTTGATGTGAGGGCCTGCGGTTGACAATCTGCATGCGTTGGGCACGTGAAAAATATTCCTCCTGTCTGTCTAGCTTGCTGCACCCACCCGGATCTCCCTTCCTTTCCTGACAGAATCTCACATAACTAAATGAGCAAGTTGGTTAAAAAGGAACCTAGTCCCCAGTCTGAAGAAGTCATCCCTGTTTGTTGCAAGGAGGCCTCCGAGCAGGGCTTAATTTCCACACATACATCCCAGGGATGCGGGGGGCTCCCTGACTCTTGCTCAGTCAGCTCCTGTTCTTCCCCAAGGAGGGGTGCTCACAGGCCTGGTTCCCCTCTCGGCGTGAAAGCGTGAAGGCACATTAGAGCGGGGCCCAAAAGCTGCTACCGAGAACCGAGAGATATTAAACACGGAGCAGGCTTGCTAAAAAACTAAGCAAAAGTGCAGTAATGTTACCTATTCCTCTGGATCCCCTTCCATTTGGGGAGAGGGGCTATTTCTTTATATATTGCAGGACCTGGCCTGGAATCCCACAGACCACGATTGCGAGTCTCCCAAATCAAATTATCTTTCAAGAAACGGCTCCCGTGACAACAGCCAAAACCACTCTGGGCCACGTGGCGGCGGTGGAAGAGAGGGACGCCGTTTACGTGGTAGGTCGCTGGGGCTTAACGGTCTCCAGGAAAAGCAGAGGATTCAGCAGGAGGGGAGAAATTCTGGGTTAAAAGTTAGCCACTGGGGAGGAACAAACATTTTTCACTTGATCACCTCCTGGCGTCACTATCACCAGGCACGTTTTGAGCATGCATGGCTAGTGGTGAAGGGTTGTATGTATTTTATTATTATTGTCTTGTTTATTTAAGCAACTTACCCTGCTTCAGTTTGGAGGGTCTTTAGGCAGTTAGGATAATCGGAGTCTGATAATATGCACAGCACCAGCTCTTTCTCTGTATCTTAAGCCAAGCTTGGCCCAGGTAGGACTCACAAGATGTCCCCAAGAGGCGTTCCTGTTCCCCCTCAAATAAAATAAATATTAAAGTCAATTTTTTAAAGGCTAATTGAGGGCAGTTTTGCTGTTTCAAGGCATCATCACCTTTGGGTGAAGGTGAAAGGTTTCCTCGATACAAGATCACATCCTTATTTTCTTGTGTATCCAGGGGGAAAAAAATATCTGTGGGGCATACTTTAATAAAGCGCAGGTTCCCCTAAATCATTCCTCTCTTCAGTTTGTTTTGTTAATCACCTCTTGGTTGTTCTAATAGCAAATACAACTAGATGGAGTTATTTTGTATTTTGGCTTACACAGAAATTCAAGGAAACGCTCGAGGCGGAGTTTGCCAGAATAAAGGAGGAAAACTCGGCTCATCTGATGAAAACCCAACACTGGGCACACTGGTGGAAGAAGTCTGTGCAAAAAATCAAGCAGCTGTATTTGTGAATCGACCTAACCTTCTGTAACCCACATCTCCTTCACCCCTGTTTGTAATGTGAAATATAGGCATATAATTTTTACCTGTAGGAAAACAGATAGTAGCTTGAAATAAAGTGGTGCTATTTTTGCATATCTAGGAGCCTTCTGAAAGAATAGCTTATCAGTCCTGGAGATCAAACCTGGAGATCAGGGTTTCAGGATAACAGGACAGGCGTAACAAGATTTATGCGAATTTAAGCTGGGCACTAACATTATCATCTTCATGCCTGTCCTTATATGGCCAGAATGACCCTCTCCGTGTGCAGCAGGGCAGTTAGGGATCAGCAGACTTGGAGGACACCCAAGGCTTGGCACGTACACTATATAAAAATCACAAAAAGGAATAGAACTTGCATGGCCACCCAAGCCTCAGCGTTGGTGGCGGGGTGAGACTGAGAATTCGGTGTTCAATGTTGGGAGGCCTCTTTTGAGCTGACTTCAATGTTAATGGAGGAAGTTGGTGCTGGGGGGTTCTCGATGCCTCTGAAAACTGGTTAGGGTTGCCCACCCCCGGGATTTCTTATGCCGCCTAGACAGGCTTGCAGCCTACCCACCCTCAAAAATGAGAATTTCCTCCTGAGGTTTCCCTTTGGGACTGAACGGAGGCAGCAGATGCATGGAGAGCATTCAGCTTCTGTGAAATTCTCTTCTCCTTTGGAAGCGGGTTTGAAGGTCGCAGCTTGTCCATCAAACTGAATGAGGAGGTCAAGAGAGACGCAGAAGAAATATTTAGCACGGCAGTGCCAACAGCCAGCCATGAACATTAAACCATCAGCAACCGGGATGTTATTCTAGGCAGCATCTTTGAGGTTCCCTATCATGTGACATCCTGTTAGTCACATCTAAGATGGAGGCTGTGGCTCAGTTCATGCGTTGTGCTAAGCTGTGCTTTAGGGAACTATGGCTTACAGAACAAAGCACAGTTGGAGTTTCCCCAATGCACCAAGTCATCCGTTACTATTTACCAACAACTGCATTGGCTTCACACAGTACATTAAGCCATCGGGGCTCATTCAGTTTTGGCTTAGCGTCTGATGGGTAAAAGCTCCCCTAGAGAAGCCATCATTGGAGGACGAGAACAAGACTTTGAATGAACCAGAACAGTGACTAGCCTCTTGCAAGCCCAAACCACAGTTTCGGGAATCCTAAATCATCTGAAAACCCAAGATGGGACTTAGATTTTCATGTAACCTGGAACCTAAAATAGAAGATAGAAGAACTAGATCAGTGGTTTTCCACCCCTGTTAAACAACTCGGACATGTGTTTTTCAGTCACTTCAGCACCCACCCTGTGGCAGAAA